AAAGATCATGGAAAAATTCGTATTACCTTTTAATTCTATTTTTCCACCAACCCTACCAACACCTTGATCTCAGACTTCCAGAATTGTGAGAAAATAAATTTCTTTGTTTAAACCACCCAATCTGTGGTACTTTTTGTTACAGCAGCCTTAGAAAACGAGTGCAATAGGCATTCACCCAGTTTGGCCAGGAGAAAACCTGGGAATCATCTTCAATCCCTCCTTTTCCCTCCCACCCCACATTTACTCCATCACAGATCCTTATGGTTCTGCCTCCAAAAATCACCCAGGACTGCACACTTGGTCCACCTCTGCTGCTATTGAAGCCACCGCCACCACTCCCCCAGATGACTGCAGACCCTCCTGACTCATCTCCCTGCTCCTGCTTTTCCTTGTCTAATCTCTTCTCCACACAGTGGAGTGATCATTGCAGTATATAAACCAGAACACACTCTGCCTAAAACCTTTCACTGGCTTCCCATTGCTCTAGCTTAAAATTCAAACCCCTCGCCACGCTTCCCCAGCTCCTGCCTACATCTCATGCCCCCTCCCCCAGCTGACCAGCTACATTCTCCCATCTCACGAACACACCAAATGCTTTCCCATTCCAGGGCCTTTGCACATGCTGTTCCCTCTGCCTGGAATGCTTTTCCTTCAGCTCAGGGCTTCTCATCCTCAGCACTAATGACATTTTGAGCTGGAGAATCTTTTATCACAGGGGGTGTCCTGTGCATGGTAGGATGTTCGGCAGTGTCTTTGGCCTCTGCTCATTAGATGCCTGTAGCACCCCCACTTAGTTGTAACAACCAAAAAATGTCTCCAGACATTGCTGGATGTCCCCTGCGAGCTAAGCTGCCCTGTTGAGACCACTGCCTTAGCTCTTTGGATGCCAATCCAATCTCATCCTTTGGGTCTCAGCCTGAATTCACCTCCTCAGAAGGTTTTCCTGACCGTCTTTGGTGGCTTTTGTTGTGTTACTGTTTAATTCTCTCAGAGCAGTCCTCACAGTCTTTATTTCTCCTGTTTGTTTTTTTTTTTTGTGTGTGTGTGTGTGTATTTATTTACTATAACCAGCGTGGTCGGTGGTGAATTAAAGGCACAGATTCTGGATCCAGGTTGCCTGGGCCTTCAAATCCCAGTTTAGCCACTAATGAGGCCTTCGACAAGTTGTCCTCTCTGTGCCTCAGTTTCCTCATCTACAACATGGGCATGATAGGAGTTCTAGCTCACAGGGTTGTTTGAGGGATTAAATGAATAAATATGTGTTTAGCACTTAGAACAGGACTAAGAGCCAATAATAAGTGCTATGCAGCTGTAGCTGTCAGTATGCTATCTGTTTCCCTTACTAGAATGTAAACTCCATAGGATCAGACACTTAAATGAATAAATATGTGTTTAGCACTTAGAACAGGACTAAGAGCCAATAATAAGTGCTATACAGCTGTAGCTGTCAGTATGCTATCTGTTTCCCTTACTAGAATGTAAACTCCATAGGATCAGACACTTGTCTTTCTGGTTCACCCTAAATTCTTCGATTTTATGATAGTCTGGCACATAGTCGGTGCCTAGTAGGCATTTGTTGAAAGGATGAACGAATGAGCAAATGGGAGTGTGCTCACTCTGTGACCTTGAGGCTGACGATGGAACCAAGGTCAGTGGCTCCCACCCAGAGATTCGGCCTCCATAGGCTGGTTGAGAACAACCTCCAGACCCTAGACCCTGTGTCTGGAAGTGCACAGAGCTGGTGATTCTTGGAGACAAGGCCCTTAGGGGAGGGGATAGTGGCAGCTGTAGGTGCCATGGGCCCCGAGCTCTGTTCTGGACTTGGGGCCTGGCCTAGTTCCCACCCTGCTCTGCACAGCTCTGGATAGTTAGTCCAAAGTGTGGGCCATGGTGATGTTTTACGTTCTGGAACATGAGCAGGTTGGACAGCCCCTCTGCCCTGGGAGGACGCTAACCCCAGGTCCTCAGGGCTGAGGGGGGCCTAGTCCCTGTCCTCGACTTTGTCTTTTCTCCTCCTCCTCAGATGTCCAGGCTCTTCAGCCTCCTGCTCACCTGACCTTCCCTCCTCTCCTTCGCCCACAGGACTCAGCTTCTCTGGGAGGGCTACCCCAGGCCAACAGCCACCTCCTTGCTGCAGACAGCAGCTCCTGCAGGGTACAAACTCCTCTAGCTCGTGTCCTGGGGAAGCAGGACACTTTCCCCATTCTTGGCAGACATACACTCTAAATCTCTATAAATTGGCTTTTTAGGAGTATCTTTTAAATATATGTTTTTTATTTTATATATATTAAATATATATTCTATGTGTTATATATATTATATATATGTCATATTGCTGCCTTTCTTTATGCATTTTTTGTCTTCAGTTCTCTACAATTCTAGTTATATCAGAAGTAAACTTAAAGCTAGTAAGTATGTTTTTTTAACTTGCTAATTTCTCTTTTCTAACAAGGAGGACATTTATTTCCTGGGCTCAGGGCAGTTCAGATGGGGCAGCAGCTCTTATGACAGCCCTAAGAGCTGAAAATGAATGTTCTGGGTTGCAGGGCACTCCAGGGAGTAGAGAAGAGAAGCAGGTTGCTGTCTTTGCTGTTGTTGTTGGGTGGGAAGTCAGCAAGAGAGAGGGTTAGACTTTGGATTGGTCAAAACTTGGTCGTGTTGAATTTGAGGTGCCAGTGGGACCAGGGTGGAGGTGTTCTGAGGGTTTGGGGTGCAGCAGGGTTATGGGGGTGGTGCTGGAGACAGCAGGCAGGGAATCCCAGGTGTGGTTGGAGGAGCAGGTAAAAGCTGCTGCTTACACATGTAAAATCCATCCTTAGATGGGCTGGTTGAAAACACAGGGTGAGCTGGAGGTGTGGTCTTGGTTTGTGTTAATCTCTTCCAAGGCCCTAAGTCACATTATTTGCCAACCCGTTTTATATTGATTTCTTTGCCTGACACTCTTGTGCCATAAGAAATTGGGACTTTGGATTTCACACCTCTATGTAGGGCAACTTAGCTGCTTGTTCTTATGAGAGTCTAATTCATGGCTCTAGGAAACCTAGATGCCTTTATGCTTCCATCAGCCCCTCGATGCCCCTCCCCAACCCTGTTCCATGGGTCTAGTGACCCCTTCATGGATCCCAGCTTTTGGCAGGGAGCTCTGCTCCTGCTCCCTCTCTCTGTCCAGTATAGACCTGAGGCATTGGCTTCTATCCCTGAGTGGCTGTTTAAACACCAGCCCCTCTCCTCCTGAAGCCCAAATTTATTTCTACTAGTTCCCATTAGACTTTTGGTATCAGATCCTCCTGTTCACTGTCCTGGCTCTCAGTTCCCTTTACATTTCTAGTACCTGGAACTTCCTTTTCTTGCATTTGATTTCAGTTATGTATCAAAATACATAACTGCAAAATGTCTAAAATGCAATTTCTTGGATTGCATTTTATAGAGAATTTTTATGTTTGGAGTTAAAGGGAAGTCTCTATATTGACTCCACTTACTGTATTTGTAATTTGGGCTTTCTTATTGGATTATAATAAAATGTGCCCACATTAGACATATTGTATATTTTTTCAGCCATCAGCACTTGCCTAATCCCATTTTCTTTATTTTATAAACAACACCAAGAATCAGATCGGAAATAAAAAGAAAGCAGAAGAAAACAACATGCGAGCAGAACTGAGGGGGCTGGAGATTAGTTTGATCCTCTTGGTGGAGAGAACTGAAGCCTCCAGCTGTGGTGTCTGCTGAAGAAATGACACATGGGCACAGAGCATTGTGGCACTTGTCAGCTCTGCTCATTCTGGGTCTCTCAGGTGTGTGGCTAGTAACATCCATAGGACCAGAATCCAAGTATTTGGTTGTTCCATCCAGGGCTCAGTCCCATATACCATATTTCATCCAACATGGTAGACGAGAGAAGGTAAGAAGTTGTGCTTTTACAGCAAAAGTTTGAAATGGCAGATAATCCACTAGAGAGTTCTACAAAGTGAAGGTTGGAGGCTGTGGGTATTGATCCTGGGGAAAGAAAAGAGAAAGTGGAAGCAACTGACGGGAGTTAGCACCAGAGTTATATCTTCAGATATCTGTGTCTTAGGGAAGAATATGATTCTGATGTGTAGGCTGGATTAGGGAGAGTATATAGCTGGCCGAGAGACCAGATGACAAGCTATTTCAATGGTCCAGAACCATCCCAAAGATACTCAACATTGACCGAGCAGTCACCATGTTCCAGGTGCTGTGCCAAACACTTTACTTGCATTAACTCGCTTATTTCCTATGGCCACCCTACAAGACAAGAATTGTCACTATTTCTCTTTTTTACAGATGAGGAAACTGAGGATGAGGTGATTTACAACATGCCCAAAGACACATGAAGACTAAATGATGGTTTTACTGAATTAGGTTAATAGTGTATGATCAGGTATGACACAGCTGTGTACATATACAATAGCGTAAGACCAGTCAGTGTATGACACAAATTTTCTACAGGAAGTTAGAAAGTTGGGTCTGGAGCCCAGGAGGGATATTGGGATATTGGGCTAGAGGACGTGGTGCAAGCTCATCCGCGTGGAGGTGATGGTTGAGGGAGACATGGGGAGTACTCGCCACACCTCTGTAAGTGGGGGTGTTGTTTTATGACCCCAAAGCAGGCAGCCATAGAGAAGGGACAGCTACTTAGATCAAGAAAGTCCCAGACAAGATGAAGAGTGAGTGAGGCAGGGGACAAAATGTCTCCTCTGTTGGAGGTTTCATACATTGGAATACACTTTCATAAAGGCTCGGGGTGAACCAATCATTATGTGTGCATTAAATGAAGGGAAGAGAAAGTAGATTTCCCTTTGCTCTTAGTCCATTTCCTGAAGTCTCTTGCCACTACCCCTTTTGCTAAGAAGGGCTTCAAATTAGAAAGCAGCTAAGAGATTAAAAAGGAAGTAGATAAGAGAGAAACACAAAAGAAATTTGAACAAGTAGAAGGTGGAGGACAGAGGTTCTGTTACACATATTTGGACTCCAGCTAGGACCTGGGTTTGCTGGGGATAGCAGCCTGGGAGACAGGACCAGGTCTGCTCCTTTTCTCTCTTCCAGGTGAGTGGGGCTGTGGCTTTGGAAACCTGGTGATGCAGGGGGTGAGACGATCCCTCCTGGGCTCCAGACCCAACTTTCATAAGGGCTGTCCTGGGCTCAAGCCAGAGGTGAAGTGTTAGCAGAAATGGGAAGGACACATCATTCATCCATCTGTATAGTCTACACAGTCAAACATTCATCTGTGGTTCCTACACTTATTAAGCACCAACTGTGTGCCAGGACTGTTCTAGTTGCATCATTAAGAGTAAGTTCTGCATTTGAGGGACTCATGATTGAACGAGGGAGTCAAGGAACAATACAACATGGAACTTGCTACAGTAGAGATTCATTCACTTGGTCATGACAGTTTGCAGCAGGGACCCCTAACTTTGCTCTTGGAAGGAGGGAAGTCTTCACTGAAAGTCAGTCTTGAACAATGAATGAATGCAAGAAGTGGAGAAGGAATAGCTTACACAAAAGTGGGAAGATATTAAAGGCCATGGAAAGTGCAAGAATTAGCAATAGTTCTGTCTTGCCAAAACTTAGTGTAGGGGCCAGCCCGGTGGTGCACTGCTACAGTGCGCCGCTTGGGAGCGTGGTGGCGCTCCCGCCGAGGGTTCGGATCCCACATACAGACCGGTTCCCGCTCACTGGCTGAGTGAGGTGTGGGCACAACACCGAGGGTTGCGATCCCATTGCCGGTCCCGGTCCGGTACGGGCGCGACACTGAGGGTTGCGATCCGTTGCCAGACACGAAAAAAGACAAAAAGGAAAAAAAAATTAGTGTAAAGGGGTTGGAAATGTTTGTAAGAAAGAACTAATAAAGCATCTAAAATGCTATCCTCAATTTCCACCTTAAATCCTTCCTGGAACACGGTGAAGTGTAAACGAGTAAATAAAATTGTCTCCCAAAGGTTGGACTTTCAGAAGAGAAACTCTTAAAAAAGACATTCAAAATGCAAAAATGCGGGAAAGCACATTTTTCTGTGGGAAACAAATTTAGGATAAAAATTAGAGGATATTCTTCATGTTTGTAGAATGAGTTGTGTGGTTGGGTTCCCCTTAAACACAGAAACTGCCCAATATAATGACAAGACTTTTTCCAGAATGATGGGTGGAAAAGGCAGATATTTAAAGGAAGATGAGAAGCTGGGTGACAATGTCCAAAATGCAGTTTTCTTATCAGTAGAATGATAATGACCCTGGATAATTTCCAAGGTCTTGTAAGGCCCTCATAATCTAGATCTTAGACTCAGAAAGTCATTTAAAAGAGGTGCATTGCATTACACATGGGAGGTATTCAAAATGTCTTAAACGATAATGATGATGACGATCATGGACAAACTAGAGAGTGCAGTGGACGTTTTGTGAATCACCGTAATTAATGAAGTGGGGACCCAAAGCAGTGGTGGCTGGAGCCACCTTGCACTGGCCCACAAGAGCCGATTACGGGAATGTCTTCCCAACTCCATATTCAGTGACAGCTTGAAATCAGTCATGGTGAGAATATATTTGCACCACAGAAATCAGCAAACACTACAAATTAGGACTTCCCCCTTTGAGAACTCACTTACCAGTCTATTACTACCTGTTTAAATCAGCTTGCCGAAATCTGATAAAATTACCTAAATGCTCTAATCTGGGTGCAGTTAAAATGAAGATAGAAACTTCTTCCCACCACTTCATGTGGAACCTGCTGGCCTCTCTAGTCCCCCAGGTTCATCTTCTTATCCAGGCTACACTTGCAGCTGGGGGTTCCTCATGGGTCCAGATTAAAACTTTGAAATCACTTGTAAAGACTTACAGTTCAGTTCTTTTCCATCCTGACTCCTGGCTTAGCTTCCCCTTCTCTGTCCCAGAATTCCCCTTCGCCCTCCACAGCCATCTGGGGCTACAAACCTGCTTGCAAAAATGTGATCACTTTCAATGCATAGAAGGTATCTGCAAGGGTTGTCCGAGGGGTCTTCAAAAGTTCCATGGAAAGATTCATATTATCTCTTGATCCCATTTTTCTATGAGCTTTCTGAAGTACCACATATTGCCAGCCTGAGAATGGGGAATGAGAAAGGGATGGAAAGACAGATAGAAAGGATAATTCCAGAGCAAGGAGAAAAAGGGCAAAGAGGAAGTGAATTCCAATATAAAATGAGCAAAAATAGAACTCCTATTTGTTATGCATTTGACAATCTACAAACACTTTCGAATCATGATACAATGTAACCCTCTGAGCAGTTTTGCAACCTAGGCAGGGCAGATAGCATTGTCTCATTTTACAGATAAGGTGGTGAAGGGATTAGCCCATGACACAGCAAGTAAGTAGAAGAACTGAAGACAAAGTCCAGATCTGTCTCCTCCACAGAGCTCTTTTCACTGGCCATGGGGTGTCTAGAGCAAAGCTAAGCTGGTCATATTCACAAAGTAGCTCAGGGTGCTTTCTGTTGACCTCTCTGCTACATCATCTGGTGGTTCCATTCTGAACTGAACGCCCTCCAATATTCACTAGTTCCCATTAATCGGAAGCAGCCAGCAAGCGCTCTTATCGAAGAATGCACACCAACCATTTCCAGGCAGTACTATCTGCTATTTTTGCACTTAGGTAACACCCTAGCAGGACAGAGGAAAGTACCCTTGGAATTAGCAGAACCTTGTTTCTTTTTCTTTTTTAATTTTGTAATGTTTATTGGGAACCAAATGTGAGGATCAACCTGGTGAAACGCCATGTGATACAGAGTCAGAGAAGTGCTCCCAAGTTTATTACAAATAACAAAGCTTTTATAGACAGAAAAGGCTGAAGAAAGCAGAAACTAGGGCCGGCCGGTTACCTCACTCGGGTGAGCGTGGTGCTGGTAACACCAAGGACATGGGTTCCTTGTTTCTTCTTAACTTCAGGTGCTCAAGATTGGATTACTCATGGCTCATGACACCTTTTTATCATTGGCCCATGCAAGACCCTCTTTTGTTTTAATTATATGTAATTTTCATTTATTTCGGCCTCTGGCTGGTACAGGGATTGAACCCTGGACCCTTGGTGTTATCAGCACCATGCTCTAACCAACTGAGCTGACTAGCCAGCCATGACACCTTTTTATCATTGGCCCATGCAAGACCCTCTTTTGTTTTAATTATATGTAATTTTTATTTATTTCGGCCTCTGGCTGGTACAGGGATTGAACCCTGGACCCTTGGTGTTATCAGCACCATGCTCTAACCAACTGAGCTGACTAGCCAGCCCCTAAGTGTGTGTAGTTTAACAAACACTTGTGAACCTCCTGGCCAACCCAAGTACTAGAATGTTACAACTTCGATCTGCCTACTCCTTCCCAATCCAATCTTGTTTCCTCTTTCAAACACCAGTAGTTTGGTGTCATTTGCTAACACTTTGCATGAACATTTGTTTCTGTCATATTTGTGCATTGGATAGAAAATTGGGCTAAGGAATCATAAGCCAAGTTCTAAATCTGAGGGTCTGTGATTTAATGAGTCACATCACCCAATCTCTGCCTATCTCAACAATCCTCTCTGCAAGCTGCCTTACTTTACCTCTGTTTTGGAGGTGGCTTTGCTTATTGGGCTTTAGTTAGTGCATGTATCTACGTTCCCTAGCCTACCCCTGAAATTTAAATCTTTACAAGTGACTTCAAAGTTTTAAGAACCATCATTTTTCTTTCAGAATATAAATTTGAATTGGTGTCATTTCAATGAGAAGTATTGCCTAACGAGGAGAAATAAGCTATCATGAATGCAAAAGGCTCTTTTCTTTTCCAGGGTGATCTTCCAGATTGATTAGGTTTGGGGTTCTACATAGCACTTTCAGACTTTTCAAAATGAGATTCTGCCTCTGCAATGGCATTGATGTTTACGTGACTTAGAATTGCTCGGGGAGTTGTTTTCTGGGGTAAAATTTATGAAAAAGAAAGACCCGGAGATAGTGGTGTTTACCCAACAGAGATCTGGGGAGGAAAACAGGTCAGCCCAGAGGGAGACAGAGATAAGTGGCTCTGGTCCCTAGAAAGGATAAAATGGTCCCTGCGGGCTTTCCTCCCTCGGCTGCACTCTCCCCTGGTGAGTGAGTGAATGTGTGTGTGTGTGTGTGTGTGTATGATGAGAGAGAGAGAGAGAGAGAGAGAGAGAGAGAGAGAAACATCTGCTTCCTAGGAAGGCTAAGGGAGCCCAGATTGTAAGCAGGAGAGTGAGGAATAGAGTCGGAAAGCAGAAGGCCGATCTAGCTCTTAGGTATATTCCAGAATTAAAGACTTTCCAGACTGGAAGGAGCCTGGAAGGTTCTCTTTAATCTGCCCATCTGCTGTTGAAATCTTCTTGATTAGAGAGGCAGAAATTCTAGCACACGTTCCGCTCTGAAGGGGCTTGTTCTGAGCCTGGCGGAAGGACTGCGAGCTCTCTCGGAAGCATTCCTTCTGGAAGCTGCACCAGCAGTCCTTGGTGCCACTGCCCAGGCTCTTCACTGTGCACCCTGATAAATCCCCACTGTAGGGGAGTGCAATTCTGAGCTCTGTCCAGAACCTGGAAGGAGGCACTGCTGGCCTGTACCACCTCTAGGAGGGGGAGAGGGTCAGGTGGGAGGGAGGAGGCGAGGCCAACTCTCCAACCTTGTGGGGAGGGCAGCTGTGGGCAGAGAGGTCCTTGGGGAAGAACATAGGTGTGGAGCAGGGATCTGGAAACCAGAAGGTTCCTGGGGTGCAGTGTCCAGGGTAAGGAAGGTTCTCACATGGGTTAGGACAGCAGGAGACCTGGTGAGAGCTCAGAAGTTGTGGGGTTAGGAGCCACTTTGCTGCGGTCAGGGGAGCACAAGTGCAGGAACTGTCAGGGGTCAGCTGGGGGCTGACAAGTGCCGCAGAATTTGGGAGGGGTTGGAAGGGTAGGAAAAAAGCTTAGGTAGTGACAGTGTATGGTGGCACCTCATACGTGGGCACAAGGGCACAGATAGCAGGTCAGCCAAGGTGTGACAGAGAGAGCCAGCTGGGGACAGAGCAGGGAGGAAAGGCAGATAGTGGGAAGAAGGGAAGGAAATGAATGACAGCCAGAGATCAGGGGCTCCTCCCCACTTGTGCTCACTGCAAATCCAGACATAAGGGCTCTTCCACGGGTCCTGCTAATTCCCAGGGCTATGCTCCCACGGCCCTGGCAGGTGGGTGCCCTCTTGTTGGTAAGTCATGTCAGCCTAGGTGCAAAGCTCACTCCCCTCACTCCTTTCTGCCCCCTCAACACACACACACGCACACTCAAGTTCAAACCAATCTCTCATAAGTCTCTGAGCATTTGCTCAAGACATGGGGAGGAAGGTGCTCTGCTGAGCATCACATCCCACCATGCACGGATGTCTGCCCACTGCAGCCTTTCTTCCTTTTTCTCTTTCCTTCCACACCACCTTCTCACACGTTGCCTCCCACTTCCCCCCCAGGCCCCAAATTGTCCCAATTGATTATAGAGAGCAGCTTCCCTCTTTCTTCTGAACGCATGGTGGCCGTGGACACCCAGGCCCTGAGACTATGATGGGGAAGTATCGGCTTGTGCTCCAAACCCGTGTAAAGAAACCTATTACGGCCTTCTTTGGACACAGCGCTTCCTTCCAGAAACCTGGTGATGCTCCCTGGAAAGCAGTGGAGCCAGAAATTTTTTTCCCCTCTCTCAAGAACACATGGAGAGCAGAGTAAACAAGAAGTTGTACTCTTAAAGAAGAAGTCTGAGTTGCAGAAGTCCTCAGAATGCAGAGGTCTCACTCCAAAGGGGAGTGTTTTTGTATGTGACTAAATCTCATGCCTGGCAGAGGCTGCAGGCTCAGGATGGGGCAGAACAGCCAGCTCCTCTCAGCTCCCACCTCCAGCTTTGGCCTGACTCTTCCAGGCTCCAAGGGCAGAGGCCCCGTGTGATTACTCAATGTTTCTGCTCCCACAAGGGACAGGTTTCTACTTGTCTTGCTGGCTGCAGTCTCCAGACTCTTCGGCTTAGGTTGTAGGGTAGGTATCCCTCCATGTCCCCATCCCGGGACCCATCCATGGCTCCCTGGCCACTTTCCCCTCAAGCTTCAGGCAGGCAGCTGCTGATGGGACCCATCTGGATGGAGACTGGGGCTGGGGCTTGTGTTTTCCAGGTTGTCTGTCTCTGATGGGCCCCAGTGCTGTGACTGGCACCATGGGGGACTCTCTGAGTGTGCGGTGTCAGTATGAGAAGGTGTACGAGGGTATAACAAATACTGGTGCTGAGGACAGTGTGACATCATGTGAGACCATTGTGGAGACCAAAGGAAATGAAAAAGAGGAGAAGAAGGGCAGCATGACCATCAGGGACCACCCTGATGACCTCACCTTCACTGTGACCATGGAGAACCTCAATGCAGATGATGTGGGACCTTGCTGTTGCAAGATTCAGACAGCATGGATCCTCGATGAATGAAAAAGAGGAGAAGAAGGGCAGCATGACCATCAGGGACCACCCTGATGACCTCACCTTTACTGTGACCATGGAGAACCTCAATGCAGATGATGTGGGACCTTGCTGTTGCAAGATTCAGACAGCATGGATCCTGGATAAGTGGTCACATGACCCCTCGTTCCTGGTGAGAGTGTCTGTTTCCCCAGGTAAGAGTTCCCCATGCTCCAGTGGCAGAGCTTATGGGATATGACCAGACGTGGGGACAAGGGTGGATGCTATACTGAGGTGTGTGTCTAAGTCTTGTCCTCAGTCTTGGTGGTGTTTAGTGGAGCCTGTGGTATGGTCAGGAAGAGAGATGGCTAATTCTTCAACCTTAGGATGGGTGGGGGCTGCACAGCTCAAGGTGCCCTTACCCCTGTAGTGCCTGGGCCTCACCCCATTGCTTGTGGAGGACCCTCCATGCTGAGCCAGAGCTATTTCCACCATGCCCTTTGTAAAAGCTGTACCCAAGGAAACACCTCCCATGCATTCTCAGCCTCCTCACAGAACACCCCTCTACAATGTTATCCTGAAATTGGCCTCACTTGCGGAGACTTTCTTGTTTTTAGGCTTCCTGGGTGGAAGCTACTCTTTCTCTTACTCTCCATGTGCAGAGTCTCCCAGCCCCAAATACAGCTTCCAACCTATTACCTTCCACCTGCTTCCTTTAAAATTTGTGTCATGTGACCATGCCCAACCTCTACATGTCCTTGACAAGGCCATCTATTGGCTTTCAGGTGACTCCCTCACACTCAGGGGCAACCTGGCAGCATCTCTACTTCAACCTCTGTCACTCTCTTGGGAGGTTTTAATGAGTAACTTGTCAAATATCCTCTCTTCATGTTCCTTGACCTTCTCAGCTTCAGGCACCTTTATTTCCACTGTCTTTCAGAATCCCACCCCATGGTGACATCTCAAACCTTATCATCCAAACTGGTCCATGTCCAAAATCCTACACTCAAACAACCTGCTCTGTGACAACTTTGCATGGATCAGCTCGCTCCCACATACAAACCTCCGTGCAGTCTACCTCGTCCTTGCCTCTTTCCCTTTCAGGTTGGGGATTAGGCTTCCCTCGACCTCTCCAAGGACAATCGTGCTGAGCTGGCCCTTTGCCTCTGCGTCCCCTTGAACCAAATTCCCTCAATTATCTTCATACACTTCCTCCTTGCTGCCCTTGACCTCAGCCTGGAAATGTGCTCATGTCTCATGTCCAAAAGATACCTCCTGTAGCCTCAAGCGCCACACACCACCACGTCTTGTTTCTCTACTTTCTACTTGCCTGGGAGGTGGCTCGGTTGTACCTAGACAGTTGCCTTGCAGGGCCCACCACTTCCTATTGAGGTTAGTCTGTCTGTTCATGTGTCTCTGCCCCTCTGTGAGGGCAGGGATAGTGTCACAACCACCAAGGAATCCCCAACAGGAGAGAGGTCAAAGGCTGTTTGTTGGGTCAAACTGAGCCTGTGTTGGGCATGTGTGAAGGGCTGAGCCTCCGGAACCAAGGGAGGAGGGATGATGGGGGTCACAGAGAGGAGCTGTCCTGGTGTGGGTCCTTTTCTGGTTTGATCCTGAGTTATCTGGGCTCTAAAGTGGGGACATAAGGAGAGGTGGGGAAAGAAGGGTCTTGGGGACTGTCTGAGGAGGTAGCTCATTTCCTGTCTCTGTGTCCCCCACAGGTCCCAGTGTAGCAGACTCCACTTCCTGTTCCTCCCGCTCCTGAAGTTGCCCTTGTTCCTGGGCATGCTTGGCACTATCTTCTGTGTGAACAGACCTCAGAGGGCTCCTGGGGGAGATACAGTCTGCCTGACCAGGAGCCCTGCAGTGCACAGTCCCCAGGTATGCCCGGTGAGGGGATCAGCCCTTCAGACCAGATGAGAGAGACCTTGGGGCTCTGGACCCCAGGGCAGGGAGGCAGCAGTGACTGGATTCTGGCGGGACTTGTTTTTCCTGTCCCACAAAGAGGGGTCTTGGATCTTAGAGGGCACTCCTTTGGAGTCATCATTGTGGAGGGGGGAATGAGACTCTCCCAGGCTCTGGCTTGGGGTCCTCCTTTCTCCTCCCCAGATCCCCTGCCTCCCCACCCTCATGCCCACCNAATGAAAAAGAGGAGAAGAAGGGCAGCATGACCATCAGGGACCACCCTGATGACCTCACCTTCACTGTGACCATGGAGAACCTCAATGCAGATGATGTGGGACCTTGCTGTTGCAAGATTCAGACAGCATGGATCCTCGATGAGTGGTCACATGACCCCTCGTTCCTGGTGAGAGTGTCTGTTTCCCCAGGTAAGAGTTCCCCATGCTCCAGTGGCAGAGCTTATGGGATATGACCAGACGTGGGGACAAGGGTGGATGCTATACTGAGGTGTGTGTCTAAGTCTTGTCCTCAGTCTTGGTGGTGTTTAGTGGAGCCTGTGGTATGGTCAGGAAGAGAGATGGCTAATTCTTCAACCTTAGGATGGGTGGGGGCTGCACAGCTCAAGGTGCCCTTACCCCTGTAGTGCCTGGGCCTCACCCCATTGCTTGTGGAGGACCCTCCATGCTGAGCCAGAGCTATTTCCACCATGCCCTTTGTAAAAGCTGTACCCAAGGAAACACCTCCCATGCATTCTCAGCCTCCTCACAGAACACCCCTCTACAATGTTATCCTGAAATTGGCCTCACTTGCGGAGACTTTCTTGTTTTTAGGCTTCCTGGGTGGAAGCTACTCTTTCTCTTACTCTCCATGTGCAGAGTCTCCCAGCCCCAAATACAGCTTCCAACCTATTACCTTCCACCTGCTTCCTTTAAAATTTGTGTCATGTGACCATGCCCAACCTCTACATGTCCTTGACAAGGCCATCTATTGGCTTTCAGGTGACTCCCTCACACTCAGGGGCAACCTGGCAGCATCTCTACTTCAACCTCTGTCACTCTCTTGGGAGGTTTTAATGAGTAACTTGTCAAATATCCTCTCTTCATGTTCCTTGACCTTCTCAGCTTCAGGCACCTTTATTTCCACTGTCTTTCAGAATCCCACCCCATGGTGACATCTCAAACCTTATCATCCAAACTGGTCCATGTCCAAAATCCTACACTCAAACAACCTGCTCTGTGACAACTTTGCATGGATCAGCTCGCTCCCACATACAAACCTCCGTGCAGTCTACCTCGTCCTTGCCTGTTTCCCTTTCAGGTTGGGGATTAGGCTTCCCTCGTCCTCTCCAAGGATGATCGTGCTGAGCTGGCCCTTTGCCTCTGCGTCGCCTTGAACCAAATTCCCTCAGTTATCTTCGTACACTTCCTCCTTGCTGCCCTTGACCTCAGCCTGGAAATGTGCTCATGTCTCATGTCCAAAAGATACCTCCTGTAGCCTCAAGCGCCACACACCACCACGTCTTGTTTCTCTACTTTCTACTTGCCTGGGAGGTGGCTCGGTTGTACCTAGACAGTTGCCTTGCAGGGCCCACCACTTCCTATTGAGGTTAGTCTGTCTGTTCATGTGTCTCTGCCCCTCTGTGAGGGCAGGGATAGTGTCACAACCACCAAGGAATCCCCAACAGGAGAGAGGTCAAAGGCTGTTTGTTGGGTCAAACTGAGCCTGTGTTGGGCATGTGTGAAGGGCTGAGCCTCCGGAACCAAGGGAGGAGGGATGATGGGGGTCACAGAGAGGAGCTGTCCTGGTGTGGGTCCTTTTCTGGTTTGATCCTGAGTTATCTGGGCTCTAAAGTGGGGACATAAGGAGAGGTGGGGAAAGAAGGGTCTTGGGGACTGTCTGAGGAGGTAGCTCATTTCCTGTCTCTGTGTCCCCCACAGGTCCCAGTGTAGCAGACTCCACTTCCTGTTCCTCCCGCTCCTGAAGTTGCCCTTGTTCCTGGGCATGCTTGGCACTATCTTCTGTGTGAACAGACCTCAGAGGGCTCCTGGGGGAGATACAGTCTGCCTGACCAGGAGCCCTGCAGTGCACAGTCCCCAGGTATGCCCGGTGAGGGGATCAGCCCTTCAGACCAGATGAGAGAGACCTTGGGGCTCTGGACCCCAGGGCAGGGAGGCAGCAGTGACTGGATTCTGGCGGGACTTGTTTTTCCTGTGCCTCAAAGAGGGGTCTTGGATCTTAGAGGGCACTCCTTTGGAGTCATCATTGTGGAGGGGGGAATGAGACTCTCCCAGGCCCTGGCTTGGGGTCCTCCTTTCTCCTCCCCAGATCCCCTGCCTCCCCACCCTCATGCCCACCTTCCAAGGGCAAGAATTCTCTGGAAGTTGCATGCTCATGAGCCTGACCTTTTGCTCTTCTCCTTAGCACAAAAGCTTCCAAGGTCACTGTCCCCCAGGGCAATAACCACCCCTTTCCTGCAGACAGAAGGCTCTCTGAGGACACGTCCTTCACAGCTTCAGTCTTTGGGCTCACAGGGCTCCATCCCTTCCTCTGGAACAATCCCAGGGAAGTTTGATCCTGAAAGAGCATGCTCACAAGCTGCCCAATGTCCCAGGAACTCAAGGTTTCTTACCCTCTTCTGATGCCCTTTGTCCCCCTGGGCTTTAAGCCCCCTTCTGTCCCTGTGACCAGGGAATCTATGGCTGGGCTCAACACATCTCTACTGGCTGGCCATGGCTGACCAGCTCCAGGTTAAAGTTCTGGGGTGAGTTGGAGCAAAAATGGGAAAAGGAGGTAGAGGATGCCCCTGATATCACTTTTGGAATTCCCCAACCTGAAGGGTCTCCTGAACATAGGGTCAACAGTCTGGCTTTGTCCACTTTAGAAGTCTGGCTGTGACCACCTGACAATGATTAACACTTTCCATAGGAGAGGCACACATGCTTTTACAAAGACAGGATGCAGGGCACCAAGGTGCAGAGATAGCTTACCACATTTGGGTGGCACGATGCTACTGCCACCACTGGGCATCCCTAGCCCAGGAAAAGGCTCAGTTGGTTCTTTTTTAATGCTTGCCAATTTCTCCCTCTCTGAAGTTTGGAGGGAGAGCTCACACAGTCTACCACAAGCAGGTGTCACCATCTCTACTCGCTCCTTGCATCTGGACCAGCCCTCTCCCTCCAAACCCCGCCCAAGCCTGACCTGAGCTAGTGATGCTGGCTTCCAGAGCACACTGAGAGCTCCTCTGAGTGCTGAATTCTCAGACAGAGCTGCCACACTCTGAACCTGAGCCCTGGTGTGGCTCCCCCGAGGATGAATCATCCATGGTGTCTGGAGTAGAGCTGAGGCTGTCCCAGAACTCATGCTGAAGGAGAAACTCAATACGGTAAGGCACATATTCAATCATATCAATAAGTCCCACTGCAGTCTGGGTCCAGGGTCAGGTGCAGAGATCCCCTCATTTTCAGAAACGGGGAGCAACTGGAAAGGGGAGCGCCTCCTTGCCCATCATGCAATGCATGTTCAGGGAGAACCTGGTGCTAAACCATTTGTAAACAACCTGCTCTGGGTCAGGGTTTTGTATGTAACAGAGCAGCTCCCTTGCTACACTCTATTGAGAGTCAGCCCTCAACACAAGGGTTTGTAAAAAAAAAAAATAAAGGGGGGGGGGGAGGAATTGGCAAGAGGACATGAAAATCAACTATACCGTACATTGATAAATTAAAATTTTAAAAAGGATTCAGAAACTATTTCAATTAGGTATTTAATTATCACACTATTTCAGTTTGCAACTGATTGCTTTCTTATGTACTTTTCCTTCACTGTCAGGTATCACCAATAAACGTTTAATAAAATTGCAAAAAAAGAAAAAAACAAGGTGAAGAAAAAGAGGGAAAAAAGGAAAAAATCATTAATAACACACACACAGGGCAATGTAGGAAACACAATGATGTGCAAGAGAGGAGGCTATGATGCATTTTATAAAAAAGATAAGCTCACAAGTCATTACAGCATAGACAGAACTGGTAAGCACCTTGGGAGAGCCACAGGCAAGATGCTTCTTGACATTGGAGGGGGAAACATTATGTCGGATTGTCCAGATCAGAGAAAGGAGGTGATATTTGAGTATGATGTTGAAGGGGGTGTAGGATTTCAGCTGTGCAGGGGTAGGGGAAGCAGCAAGAGAGGGGACATATTCAGGGGAGTAGCATAAGTGAAAGTAGAGAGGCAGGAAATAATTGTCATAATGGTGCTCACAGAGGAGTACGTGTGCTATTCGTGTGGTTTCTCCTGTTGGGGTGTGTCTAAGATTCCAGTGGACTGAAAATTTTCTTGTGGCAGTGCAGATGGAGCCAGCCTAGGACAACTAAGGTGGGGCAGGTTGTAGAGGCTTAGGACTCAATTCTTACTTAAACTTTGGTTGGAGACACTTGGATAGATTTGAGCAGATTAAGATGGGACCATGGATGTGATTTAGGAAGGCTTGTTGAGCAAATGTGTAGCCTAGTCTGAAAGGAAGAGCCTGGAGGTCTCAAGCCCGGGAGACCAGAGAAATGGGGCATCACTGACAAAGTTGCAAAGTCAGGAGCAGGCTTGGGTGACACAGAGCTCAGTTTTCTGAGTGTGAGTTGAGCAAATGTGTAGCCTAGTCTGAAAGGAAGAGCCTGGAGGTCTCAAGCCCGGGAGACCAGAGAAATGGGGCATCATTGACAAAGTTGCAAAGTCAGGAGCAGGCTTGGGTGACACAGAGCTCAGTTTTCTGAGTGTGACTGGGATGACCAGGTGGAGAGATCTAAAAAGAAGAGTTCAGAACCAAGGACAGAGCCCTTGGAGCATCTACAGTTAGGGATCGAGGGTAGGAGGAAGAAACATTGAACAAGGTGCCAGAGAAGCAGCACGCAGGTAGAAGCTGAGAAACCATGAAAGTTTCAAGGAGGAGAGCAGAGCTAGAGAGGTAGAGGTGGGCCAGGATTGGTCATTGGTGAAGTTCAGGAGAGCAGGTCAACAGAGCAGTAAGAGCAGAAACCAGATGAAGAGTTAAGAAAGAGTAGACAGACACGAGGATGCAGGGGTTGCAGGTGCAAGAGAAAGGAACAGCGGCTTCCCCATGCTTTGAGGTTTCCGTCTTTTTCTCCCTCCCTCCCTCTCTTCTTCCTTTTTTCCTTCCTTCATTTCATTCTTCTCTATTTTTCCCTTTTATTTACTCATTTATTCTATAAACTTTTATTGTGTGTCTATGGTGCATTGTCCCGGGCATTGCAGATAAGGATTTAAACAATGCGGAGTCCCTACTCCCCAAAAGGGAAAACTGAGCGACAGACTAACGATGGGAATGCAGAGTGTTAGGAGCGGTGTCAGAGGTCTGCACAGTGCTGTTATGGGGGCACAGGAGTAGAAAACTCACGTGAAGCTGAGCAGAGAAGGGAAATTGAAGGCTTGATTTATAAAAATAAGGCAGAAGGCTGGAAGGTGATTGTTCCAGGCAAAGGCAGGGAAGGGTCATGGAGCGTGCTGGGTCAGGACCTTCAAGTGACACATTACCATTTGCATAGAGCATGTGTGAGAGGAGAAAGAGAGATGGGGCTTCAGCCACATTATGAAAGGCCCTCGTGTCAGGATAAGGGCCTTGAATTGCGTCCTGGAAACTATAAGGATCCCCTGGAGGTTTTAAAACTTTTATTTTGAAATAATTATAGGTGTAACATTGCAAATATAGCACTCATACATAGAGACCTACGAATTGTCACTTGCCCCCAGTGGTGACATATTGCTTAACTGTAGTACAATATCAAAACCAGGAAATTGGCATTGGTACAGTACTGTTAACTAGATTGCTGACCTTATTCAGCCTTCACCAATTTTTACATATATTCATTTATGTGTGTGTGTGTGTGTGTAGGCTTCTGTGCAATTTTGTCCTATATATGGATTCCTGTAACTAACACTGCTGTCAACATACAGAAATGTTCCATCACCACAAGGATCTCCCTCACGCTACCCCTTTGCATTGGCAGCCCTATCTCATTCCTGTCCTCTGGAAACCGCTAATCTGCTCTCCATCTCTACAGTTTTTTCATTTTGAGAATATTATTGTAAATAGAATTATACAGTAGGTAGTACTTGGAGATTAACTTGTTTTACTGTGTGTCATGCCCTTGAGATCCACAGAAGTTGTTGCCCTTAGCAATAGTCCATTCCTTTTTATCAACAAGTAGTATTCCATTGCATAAATGCATCACATTTGTTTAACCATTTTCTCATTAAGGAGTATTTGGGTTGGTCCCAGTATTTTACCATTATAAATAAAGCTTCTATAAACATTCAGGTATAGG